GTGGTGCTGCTGAATTTTCCCTAGCATTTTCCCTGTTTGCCTCATATTCGTATTCCACAAAGTCAAACTTTTTTTCATATCTCCACAGTCAAACATGTGCACAGTATTTTAGTCATTAAGAAACAGACATGGTCGGTGGCTGGTCCTATGAGGTGAAGGCTCTTTGACTTTCTCTCGCTTCCATGCTGCAGGGTTGTGGTCCTCATGCAAAGGGGCCTGGTTTCGCTACTGTTCAGGATCTCTGAAGGGCCCGATGAGAGTAAGAGGGGTGGGGTGGGGGGGGTCCATCTCGAGCTCAGAAATCTTCGCTCTCTGCACGCTCTCTGAACGCAACTGCACTTTGTAAGTTACCATTCTTCCCTTAGGCATTTTAACGTATACTCACACACAATCTCCATTCATCTTTGCTTTTTCTGCTCCCCCCTCTCTCAGTCTCTCTCTCTCTCTCTCTGTGTGACTGTCACACATGCGCGCGCACCCACAAATTCGTTTCCCTCCCTCCCTTTCGATGGATCAGAGCCTTGTAAGCTGTGGGTGTCTTGGATGAGTCACATCGGCAAATTACCCAGTTTAAAGCCTTTCTCAAATGACTTCCCTTCCAGTCGGCTGCCGCGCTGATAACCGATAACAGTTTTCATTTCCACAAGGAGTTTTGGAGGACACTTGTGCGCACGTCCGCGTTTGGCACGCGACTGTGTGTGCGCGCGCGTGTGTGATAGACAGAGAGAAACAGTGGCAGAGTGAGAGGGACAGAGAGAGAGCGTGTGTCCGAGGTGAGCGCGCGCAGAAAGTAATTTGTAAACCACGTGGCTACAAAATAATCGAATACAGACGAATCGATTGCGAGAGTGGCAAAGTACTGGATAAGCTGTTTCCATTTTTCCAAACTTGCTTCCACCTTCATAGAGCATACTGAGCATTCTGCGGGCAGATGCTCTACATTAATTAATTAATTACTTCACTTTCGGAGCGTAGATGATGGATTAATTAATGGCCTAATTTTGTTTGTTAATCACTCTAAAACATCCGCCTTATCGTACATGTAACTGGTTCTGGTTCAAGCAGGAAGCAGCTCTCTGAATCCTTCCTCTTTTTGTCATTCATTTGCCGACCTGCCAGCCTTTCATACGTAATTTAAGGTTAAGAAGTCCTTACTTCATTCATTTTCATTCATTTGTTAGCAACATTAGCATTTTTGACTGAACGGCTCCTTTAAGGCAAATGTGGACCCGATTGACCCTACTTTTTTTTCTGAGACTGCTGTCTCTGACGTATCTAAAGAGGCTTACTGTTTTTTTTAATGTTTACCACGATACCGAACTGAAACGTGAACTTGGAAACATCACATGGTGAAGCGTATAAAGCGTTGTTTTTCTCCACCCTTACTCCGCCATCTGCGCTAGTATTGGTTAGTAGTTTATACTATGAACTAAAAGCCAATCCTACCGCAGCAAACGGGCTACCACGAACCAATCATAGCACAAACAGGGCGGGATTTGTTGGAAAACAGGTGCGAAAAAAAGAACAATTGGGCTTGATAGCGCGACATGGTAGCGCCCTCTGCCGGTAGCTGAGTGGGAAGAGGCACTTTGGGCAACACAGCCCTACCCAGCACATTATTCATTTCCATATTGCAGGTTTTTCGAAACATGAAACTACAGATAGAATTTCACAGATGTTCACATTTCACAAATGTGGTACATGCTTAAATACACTTACTACAAAATGTTCATCTTTTTAAATAGTTAAATAGTTTCTGAACTCGAATATTGCCTGCTATATAAGGGCTACTGACAGTTGAAATTTTGCCTTTTGATATTAGACAGCAGGAAAATGCCAAAATGGTCTATGTGGAATTAATGTATGAAGTAGCTTTGTGTGTGCGTGGAGATTAATAACCCTTGGCCATATTTTTAAAGAACTGGTGAAGTGTTTCACAGCAATTTCACTGTATTTTAAACTCGACGCAGAAATGCAAATATATTATATGTGTGTATATATATATATATATATATATATATATATATATATATACATACACACACACACACACACACACACACACACACACACACACACACAAGTAACTTACAAACATCCATTTAACAGTTTACGGTTGGATGGATATATATACATAAGTACATCATATATATTAATGATATATATATTAATGATATCTGATATCGGAAATTATAGAGGAAAAATCCTTTACATGTATTTATTTTTTCATTAGAACTTTGCTAAATTTCAGAGGAGATCTTTAGTCTCTAATTGACACCAATGATCAAGCAACACATAAAAGCTTACTGTACAACACAGAACTGTGCTGCTGGTTATTTATAGTAGTGGCAGTACAAAGCTAAAATTCCTTATTGCAATCAGCTGTTTGTTTTATGTGAAAAAAGCTCTTTGTTTATTTCACGGATGCAGTGGCTGCCATTTGCGCGTCTGCACGGTCAACACGACGTTTTATTAAATATCACCAAACTGCCAAACTGGAAGGCGGCTTGTTCTATAAACGCCTATAGGCTTCGCTTTAAACGGAGAGAGAGAGAGAGAGAGAGAGAGAGAGAGAGAGAGGGAGGGAGAGGGAGAGGGAGAGAGAGAGGGAGAGGGAGAGAAGGGGTGATTGATCGCGTAGAAGCGACTGCTCGCGCTGATATGAATCGGCTCATTAACTCCGAATACGAAGCCCAAAGCTCGGACGTGATTCGTCACTGACGCGTTCAGCGGTGCGCGCTCCCAGAGCTGGACAATGACAAAATCTGCAGCAGGAATGCTGAAAGTCTGTGTTTTAAATACGCATAAGTCAGTTCGTATAATGGATCTTGTCCTTTTTCTTTAATGATCTATTTTCACCTATAGAACTAAACATAAACTGGACAGTGGACCCACATGGCTCTAAACGGCAAAAATTACCCTCAACGCCGAAACAGTACCGCGCCCCGCGCCGCTCAACAGAACCACCGTTTTGGCGCGCGAGAAGCGAGGGCGGAGCGGCAGACGGCGCGCGGTGACCGTCTCACAGTGCGGCAACGCGGCCAAATCCTGCTGCGTGTCGCATGCAGCACTCTTTAACTGTCCCCTCTCTCCGAGCTGCTAAAGCAATATGATCATCATAACCCCCTTTCTGCGTCGTCTCACTGAGGGGCTTCAGCCGGGTCGCCCTGAGCCCCCTGTCAGTATTGGCCGTGTTTTCTGCGTAAGGCACACACCAGCACATCTCTGCGTCCGACATTTTGGGCAGTAGCGGCACTGCCTTGCTTTTGCTGTGAAAGGAGATGCGGCGCTTCAGCTCCCCCAACACCCCCCCTTCCCTCCCCAAACACACACTTAGGTCCGCGCGTGGGCGCGAAGAGCGGGTTCCACACCATTACGCCCGAGCCGCAGAGGGTGGGTGGGTGGGTGGGTAGGAGAACGTTAGTCCTCCCCATAGCGATCATTTGTTTCGTTCATCTCGTGGGAGGAGAGAAGGATTCTTTTATTCACATAGTGCGTGTTATGGCACTTCCATTAGTTTCTTTTGTACCTCGATGCATTAATAGATGATATGCCTTTTTAATATAGATCAATTTTTTTGTTTCATAATTGTGGAAACATGTCCAGAACGAGTGCGCTTTCCATCCGCGCGATGATGGGAGTGTTTAATAGTAAGCAGAACAGAAAAACTCGCGCAGCCATTTCTCAGTCTAACTGCACATTGCATGCCAGCGTCCACTGCAGTGTGGAGTGAAAGAGCCGGTGAGTGCTAGTCTCTGTGTCATGGGGTTTGGTGTGGGAGGTGGGGAGGCCTCCACTGCGCCAACGCTGACACCCATCACACTTTGCCCCCTGACCCCTATACAGCTCTCATTTAGCACCGCAGACGAGCTCTGCTCCATTATGAGCTTCTGTTAGTCATACGGAATTAGAGGCCAATCGCAGGTCCAGTAAAACTACAGAGAACGCGGAGTTCTCGTTCAAAATCACAAACGACCGACATCAAGCAGCAGTGTGTAATTATCACATGATCAGAAACATAGATGACTGTACTGTGCAGTCATTAGATGATCAGAAACAGGGCTGATTACAGTGCGTAAAATCCACAGGCCCGTGATTGGATCAATAAAGGGCATTAGTTTTTCTCGAAGCCGTCGTGACGCATGCAGCGTTTTCAGAAATTTCGAAATTAGGTTCCCGTGATGTGATGATGATGATGATGATGATGATGACGATGATGAGGCCGTGGCTTGCAGGAGGGACTTCAATATCCGTGCTGCGACTGATCCAATTACACGAATCATAAACTGGGATTGGTGGCGGTGGTGGTGAAGAGGGGGATGTTGGCCCTGATTCTACTAAGTATTTTCCAATTAGGCCTGTTTTTAAAATCCAGAATGTTAATGTTGAATTTATAGCCCGCCACGGGGGCAGGGGGAGGGAGGATAATTCTCTCTTAAACGGGCTAATTTGCACACACAGGACGCCACTGAAGGCTGCCAACAACCATCGTATCCCCTCACCCCCATTCTTTCTTAGGATTATGAGCACGCAGAAAAACCGAACCAAAACACACCTGCCATAGGCCGTACATATGTGCAGAATGCGAGGCTGACTCGAGGGAGAGTCATGAGGAGACAAAGAGCGGAACGTCACGGTGACCCCAGAAGCCCGGCTCCTCTCCGGCTGGGTTTGAGGCACCTCAGAGCCCAGCAGCCTGAGCGACTATCCCTTGTATTACCAATAACGTCCCGCCTACTTGCTTCCAGAATCAGAAGGCACGGAAGGGAATTTGGGGAAACTTCGCTTTAAATGCGAGCGCGTTCGTGCTTCGCGCCGCAGCTCTTAATGGAGAGGCCCGTTTCATTCATGCCGTTTCCGTTCATTCATCAGAGCGACGGAGCGCGAGCGACGCACGAAATTCTTATCAATGAAGAGGATGACGTCAAACGCGCCGCGAGGGTTTTTTTTCGGGTCACGTGGTTAGGAGCGTCTGTACATATTGGCGCTGCGCTGTCCGTGGTGCTGAAAAACAAAAAAAATAAAAGTAAAAAAAGAATAAAAAATCACGCACCGCGTTTATGTGCAGTCAACAAATGACATATTTCACATGTACTAAAAAGAGCGAAACGTAAACGAAACAGGCGCTTTTCTGGGGGAAAGAAACTTTTTTTCTCCAGTGTTGAACGAAAATAGGGACCGAGATTAGCTCTTGAACTTCAGGTGTTAAGACAAGAAGACAAGCACAGACGCGCTCCTGAGTTTCGGCTGATTTCGTGCGGGATAGCAGGTGAGTGGCGATTTTACGATTCTCTTCAAAACATGTTAAAATGACAAAGTGTGAGGCAACACATGCTCGCGAGGTTTGGGCTGGATAGGTGACTCACGCCGACGCTGAACCCAACGATATCAGCCGAGGAGCCGGTTTCCAGGACGCGGACCATGGCTAATGCTCGACTAGAAACACAAAAGAAGAAGAAAAAGACACTTTTAAGGGATAATCACCACTGGCAGCGAAAGCTAATATACTCTAAGACGAGGCTTAAAGGAAAACCAGTGGTAAGTCTTTGCCTGAACATCTGCGGCAGCAAAGACTCTTAGAGAAAATGAGAATGGATATCAGTGCCGTTTCAGAACAAAACATCGGAATTTCATAGCCGTTTCATAGCTATGAAGAGAAGTAATAAGTAGGGATTCATTTCTCCAGATCTACAAAGAGTTAAACTGGAATCTCATTTATCATTTTAAGTTTGTAACATACAGATAGACTGTAGAAGACAAAACAAGCTTTTCTTTTTGTTATAATAATTCATTCATCTTCTTGCATGAACAAGTTCATTGAAATAAGGGTATGATTCGCTTTTTAATTTCCGTAATTGTGAAAAACAGATTCAGTAGGAGTCCATACAGACTCTCTTTTCCACTCTTACTAGAAAATAAAATGTCCTGAGATAAAATTACAATCTACCGTGGTCTATGAGTAGTACGAGGACTACAGACTCGATGGAGGCTAATTAGATGCGTGATTCGCGCAGTAGCCACACAATAGCTCCATTTCTCCAGCTACGGCATAACGGTGTCGGCATTGTTGAACAGATAATTGGGTCAAGATGTGAAATGTGTCTTAGAAAAGTTACATTCTGAGGAAAACGTTCGTTTTAGCGTAGGCAGTAGGATGATCAGACGCGAGGTAATTATAAGGCGCACTGCAACTGCAGCCAGAGAATTCAGCTATTTACTCCGTTCTGCGATTTTTGTGGACCGGTGCAATCGGTTTGGGAATTCAGATGAAAGACCACTGTTGGTCTTCCATGTCGAGGGCGTTTTTGTGAGGTTATGATGTTATATCTGGCAAACAATCTAAACAAATGGGGAAAAAATCACGTGTCATTAAAATGGACAAGAACTTAAGAGTGCCTAATGAAGAAAAATCATAAGATGGTAACATGTATATTTGGCTTTGAACAATCCCTCTATCAATTAAAATGCTAAGGCAAATTTAGTGATAATGACGTTCCTCTTACAGAAGTGGATTTGACAAAGAAATGTAATTAGAGCATTTACAGTCTGAACATTTGCTGTGAACATAACAATGAGATTGACTTTTTTTGTTCCTTTCTCTCCTAGGTGCTTGCCCTGTCCCCTCTCCCCCTGGCCCATCTGCCCTGCATGGTCATGATCTGCTGCCATCCTTCCTCCAGTACCTCTGCTCTACTGCTAATCCTGCTCAGCATCGCTCCACAGCTGCCTGCTGCTGCCCCACTGCTTACTGCGAGCCCTCTCATCAGCACCAGCAATGAGACACTCCAGCTGGTGCACCAGGACCTGGAGACAGCAGATGGAGCAGCTTGGACACACAGGAAAGTGGACAGGCTTTTCCAGTCACCCTTAGGACAGGGCCACCTTACAGACATGGACTCTGCCAGGGCACTAGCTTCTGTCCTCCTGGAGGCTCTCGACCACCCAGCCAGAGAAAAGATAGGTGGCAGGGTGGAGGCGGAGGAGTATGTGGAGAGTGGGCTGGGACAGAAGTTGGAGACGTGGAGGGATCAGGATGAACGCAGAGACCCAGAGCAAGGAAGAGGAGAGGAGGAGAATGTGAAGAAAATACAGACTGGAGTGACTGAGTTGAGCAAGGGTGAGGAGAAGGGAGGAGAAGAAAATGCAGGATTAACAGAGCCATGGCTTTCCGGTGAGAATAACAAGGGAAACAAAGAAAGCACATTAGAGGGAAAGGAAGAGCTTCTGCAGAGCTTGCTTAATAAAAAAACAGAAGTCCCACCCCAAACTGCCACATCCCTTCAGCGTAAAACCAGGGGTTATTTCCAAAACATTGACCTTGGGCTGCAGGACAATGAGATCCTCCCCCCTCTAAAGGGCTACAAAGCCTATAACCAGCAGCTAGCCCTGGCCAGCAAGAAGCTCAAGTGGCAGGAGGATAAAGAGAGAAATCCTTCTCAGCTTGACAGGAACTTCATGGATGATTTTGACTTCATAGATGAGGAGGAGGAGGTCCTCCCCCGTGAAGAGGAAGAGGCGAGGGCACGAGCTGAGCAGGAAGAGGTGCGGAGGCAAGAGGCGGAGGCACAAGAGGCGCGTGAAGAGGAGCAGAGACTGGCAGACATTGCCTCGGACATGCTTCTGGAATACATGGGCAGAAAACAGAAAGCAGCTTCTTACCTGAATGACATGAAGAAAGCTTCATTGCTGAACAATGTGGCTGAGGACAAGCGCTCTAATGAAGTGGAGGACAGTGATGATGACGAAATGGACCCCGAGACTATTGACAAGCTGATCGAAATCTCCAGTAAGCTGCACCTACCTGCTGATGATGTTGTTGAGATCATCACAGATGTGGAGGAGAAGAAGAAGAGGAAGGATTCACCCCCCATTAATGCCCCCCGTTTCCGCCCTTTAGTCCCCCTCAAAGCCAAGCAGAGGGCTCCTGTTTATCAATACCCCAAGTCCCCAAAGAAATCCTCCTACAAGGTGAACCCGTACAAGAAATGGTACAAGGAAAAAAGCAAAGCAAAGTTCAACAAGCAGGACTACTGGTTTAAGCCACAGAAGCAGTTGCTAGCTTATCCCTCCTTTCCTTATTACCAGAAGCCATATCGAGCCTATTACCCTGTTTACTTTCCACCTCCTGAACCACGCTTTTACACAAACCCTGCCCTCTCTTTTGACTACAACTTTGGGGGCTCCATGGGCTACGGCTTTAAACCCCCCAAACGCAGAAATAGAGACAGAGCCAAGGCAAGGGAGCGAAACTGGGTGCAGGGGGCTCGCCAGCCCCAGAACCCCTTCCCTTTAGTGGACACAGTCATTTCTAACTACATCCTCCCTCATCCCCGAACTTACCAGACCCTCCCTGTGCCCAAACCCCGTTCTCCCCTGAGTGCAGCAGCACCCAGCTTCTTTTACCACCCAGACTATGCGTATGATGAGCCAGAGCCAGTGCCAGACAGCGATGATGAGCTGGAGAACTTCATTGAGAAGATTTACTACAACCGCAGGTTGTTCTAGAGGCTAGGAGGAGGACTGGTGATATTCTATAGCGATGAAAAAGAGTGAGGAGAACAAAGAGGAAAACTGAGTGAGTGAGGGCATGACGTTAGGGGCTGAGAAAAGACTAATTCTATGTTACTTCTCCACTCTTGTTTTTAAAAACATTCCAGGTCAGTCCAGAAAGCGATGTTAATGAGATTATGGACCCTCTCTGTGTGTTTGCATTCCGTTCCTCTCGCAGTTTACATTTTCATTTGGTGAGAGAACTTACGGGTGAATTTGTCAGGTTTCATTCAGGTATGGTTTTACTCTTGCATGTCAAAAACATTTTAGGTGCCAACTGCAAGAGACCCATGTTTACAGAAAGATTCTTTTTTTGTTTTGGTCACATGTGATTAATTAATGTGAATTGAAAATAGGGTCTAAGCTTGAAGCTGAATTCTTGAATCACTTGGCACTGCAGGGCACATCTTATAGCTTTCTTCTGGACTCGAGTCAACTGATTATAACTACAGATCCATCTTTTTCGTAGGCTATGTTTAAGTGTGATTATCAGTGCTCCTATTGCCTTAATATGGATCCATTTAATTCATGTGCATGCAGGTCTTGCACCACAGAAAATAATAACTTTATGTGAAACAAAAACAAATAGCCACCACAAGTACTTGAAAGAAAAATCTTCCATTCTGTTTAAAGGAATGCAAAATGGTGGGTGTCTTCAATGGATGCGTGCCCTGTTTAAGGTAGTTTTTGGTATTCGTTCCCCATGCCAATGATTTTCTGTACACCTCATATATCTTTTTCTTATGTCAAGTTTCAAACTTTTTAAAACACCTTTTTATGGGTTATTGTTACCTCTAACATTCTATCAACACACAGTGTAACTTTGTCTTGAGGGTCAAATGAAAGTTGTATATACTATGTCTATTCTAAAGAAGTTTTCAAATGTTTGAAAAGTTGTGAGAACTGAACTGAGGTTGAAACGAACGTCTGCACGTCTATCTGTATTTGCATCTTTAAAAAAAGCAGAAAAAAAAGCGGGGGAAATTGCCTCTTTGAAAAACTGTGGTTATTAAAAAAAATACACAAAAAAACCCTAAGAAAGAAAACTAATTATGATAACAAGTGTTTCCACAAGTGAACCAGTCTTGTGAAAGGAATTTGTTGTTGATGTCAACTTCCAGATTGTAAGTTGTACAGTGTCAAATAAACAAGTGTGTGCAATGTGTAAATAACAGCATGCTGATTACTAGTTTTGCTATATGACAAAAATAAAAGCAACTATTTTATTAAAGATCGGTTTTTTAAAATGCCTTATTGGAGAGCGTTTGATTAGTCACCCAGAATAATGTGCCATTTATCCATTCAAGTGCACTATTTCATATTTCATATCCAACAAAAATGGACTTTGACTCTAATAGACTGCACAGTGTATTTTTTGTCCTTTTCACCTGCCTGTAAAATTGAAAATACAAAAGGTTGAAATTATAAGCCTTAACCAAAGCCCAGTCTGCAGTTGGCAGCTGAAGGGGAAATTAGTGCAGAACAAAACGAGTAACTTTAGAACACTGTTGCCTCTAAACATAGATATTAAACAAGATAAAAACTTTGACTCTAAAAATCGCATAACACTGAAAAATACTCCTCCATTTTGTCCGACCTATTGACTATTATTGCATTCAGTAGAATGGGGAGACATGAAGGAGAATATATTTAAGAGGCATTCACAAATGCAGAGGGAGAGCAAGAGACTGGAATGTAGAAAGGACAATGATGTGACGGGAATAAGTATGGGGACACACTGGAACCTAAAGAGAGGGGTGGGCTGAGAGAGAGAGAGAGAGAGAGAGCTGCAGTGATTAATGAGTCACATGATTGACGGGTGAGTCATCTACTGCCATGCACCACTGCAGAACCCCAAGCATTAAGATTTATACTCACACACTGGACACAAACACCCGCATACTCATACACCCTTGCCAGATAAAATGTTTGGTGCCCTTACGTAGGGACCCAAGCAAGGGAGCCCAACTCTCACATCAATGCAATTACCCACCTGCCCCCGCCAACATATGCGCGCTAACATCCACATATACACCTATGCACTCACAGATACAGTCCATAACTCAAAAGCCTTTCAGATATGAAAGACTGCTCTGTAATTAAATGTAGAAGAATCGTTTTGACCTTTGAAAGGACTAATATTGTGCAAATGGACATCTATTGTCATAATAAAGTGTGCATAATATTCATAAATAATGCAAGCACCCACTGGGTGAAACTGGTTACATTTGATATACCGTCTTTCAGTGTTACTGTCATGACACCAAAGTGTCAATCTATTTATAGAATGAAAGATGAAAATGTACTTAATTTTCATGTCATCTCAAGCCTGATGTAAACTGTGAACTGCTATAGATTAGTTTAAAACTTCGGTTTAGAGTAATAAACAAAATATTGTGCTAATGTTCTTTGTGAAACAAGCTTCTGGGAAGTTGCGACAAGCAGTTAAACAGCTACAAATTGACTCAATTTAACTTCAGATGACCACCAAATGCTATGGGATGGTACTTCTTTCAGCGAGTAAATCAGCTCCTGAAACACAGTCCTTCACTGCACTCTGTCTTTCTCCTCTTTGATGGCATGCAGAAGCCCTTCAGTGAGCCGTGATGAGAGGAGATCTATCAGCGAGCAGAGAGGAAAGTAGTACCATTGAGCCGCTGTCAAAGGATGCCGGTGAGTCATAAGCACTTACATTCACTCACGGCCTCCACTGAACATTTCCACTGCAGTATGAAAAGAGTCTGTTACATTATGCCAATAATTACTGTAAATGGTGACATAACCATTTAAAGCCTACACAAACACACATATATGCTGGCATGCGCACATGGGCACACACTAGTTGTTTTACATACAAACTGTAGCAAACCTTCAACGTACGCAGTGTCTCCACCCATGCCAATTTGTTGCATTTACTCACTCATCACTCACTCTCAGCTACACACGCACAACCACACATACATCTGTACAAAATCAAGCTCACAAAAACATCGTCTAAGGCAATGACGGCAGAGGCACAGATACTTCAGATATAAAAACAGACAGATAATTACACTGAGTCATACGCAGTACTGGAAGCAGCTCTGATGATGCACTCTGCCAAGTCAACCAACCAGCATACGGCAGCGCTTGGAAATGGCCAAAACACTCTCCACTCAAACTTTCCCAGTGACTAAAAAACATCTTGCGCACTCCCTACATTTGACTGATTAGTAATAATTGAGCCAAATCGTTTAGAGTTCCATGAGATTGCAATAATATCCCCTTGATCCTCTTTTATACGCCAAACCTTTATGCATGATGATAATTACAGTATAATTATCATCTCCCCTGCCTGTGCAGGAGCTGCTGCTTCTCTGCTTGTCTCCAGAGTGCACTCCGAGCTTCCTTGCAGAGGTAAACAGGTTGTTTTGCAAATGCGGATCAGGCTATTCATTGTGCTTTGAACTTTACTGCTCTTCTAAATGTGTTTGTGCCATCTTGCACAAATGTATAGCAATGTGTTTTTGTCATTGTATCCCAGTACAATGCATACAGCGACAGTCTGAGCCTTTTGTGTTTACACTGTGTCAAATCCTGTCAAAAGCTTGAAAAGAATGGCAGAGTGTTTACAGCCACCAGCTTGAGCTAGAGGCCAGTCATGTTTCCGCTATAATGTTGTAAATATACAAAGACACGGAAAATTTAACCAACTGTGGTAAGAATTAAGCTCGGTCTGTTATAATAAATGATTAATTTGATGGCTTTCATCGATAAAAGCCCATTTCTAAATGGAATAAGTAAAAAGTGTCCTGAAGGAATTGTACAGACCCACATGCACATACACCATAGCTCTAGCTTCTCTCGAGCTCACTCCGTGTGCATTTCGCAGCCAAATCATTATCATCACTGTGTCAGGAACACCTGCAAAAAGGTTAATAGTGAAAACTGTGGAGCGAAGCAACAGCATTACCACTTAATCCACCCTTCCCCACTGATGCTGTTTGTGCCGGAGGCAGTGCTGAAAGGGGGAGAGTAAAAGGTGAAGAGGGTTAGAAATTGATGGAGTGAAAGAGAAAGGGGAGGGAGTAAAAGAGAGAATGGAGGTGAAGCTTTGAGTGACTCACCCTGTGTAAGTACGTATCCAACAGCTCCATAAAGTGGTGGGCCACCTCCACACTAATGAGCTCACTGCACAGTCATAAGCACTTACATTCACGCTCGGCCCCCACTGAACATTTCCACTGCACAAAACAGAGAGAAAGCGAGAGAGAGAGGGAAATCTAATTGCATGTACAGATACGAGCACTTATGTGGACCCTCCCCTCAATGCATACATGGCAGAATCTACATGCAAGGTGAGAAATGTTAATAAGAAACTTATCTGTAATTAAATGCTGATAAGTCTTTGCTGAGGAACATCACCAGTGCATTATTTATTTGAGGCTTACATGGGTGCTACTGAAGCAGATAAACTCATTTATCTCTCAGTGGTCTTTGTCCCTCTACAGGGTGGCCCACATTGCTGACATGGTGTGCCAGCCATGGGGTGACACCCGAGCTGGCCTTCGCTTACTCTTTACAGCGAACCTGCTTGTGAGCCATTCAGACTCATCCATTATTGAACGGTCAGGGTTTCCGTTTCGTGGAAAGCGAGAACACAGAGAAAAACAAACAGCAGGTGCTGCCACCCAGACAGGCGCAGTGGTCGTTAGAATGGCCGGCAGCTTGGAGGGTGCCCAGGCAGTCTACATGGGGTAAGTAGGCAGGTCTAAATGTGGGTTTTAATGGCAGGTGTTTTGGACAAAGCAAGAGTTCTAGGTGTCTTGGTGGCTCTTTTGTCAGCCACCAAGACAGTTGGATTCACTGATAACGTCTCGTTGGGAAGAAATGTCTTGTAAGCAACACGAAAAGACTAACTGCTGTAACAGGATAGAACTGACTTGCATGGCAAATCACACTGCTGATACAAGATTACTTGATTAGAAAAAGCCTCTTTTAAGAATCTAAATGGATATGCCCATGAGATTACATACTACTATGTCTGATGTTTATTACCTGCTTTCTCTCTAAACTACGCACACAAAGTGAGATACAGACAGACAGTCTGCCAACCTCCCAGGCTACTGAGGAGTATCCCGCACAGCAGGATAAGCAGAATCAGGTCAGGACACAAAGAACCCTGCTGTTAGAGAATAAAAAGGTCTTACCATAAGTGCAATCTTATCTGTAGGACATCTTTATCTGCAACAGTTCCTAAATTTTTACATTCACATGAATCACACTTTGTATTCTATTGTGTTTTCGTCATCCCATTCAACAGAGCTGCAATGTGGGTGACTTCCTAACACATGTAGAAACTAACCTACAAGAACAGCTTCAGGCAGAGCATGACCGGTCTGAATATGGAGAACAGCTACAACCAGGTGAACAACCACAGAAACAGCCCAAGCTAGAAGAGCTACAGTACCCAAATCTAGTACCAGCATATGAATGTATGCCTACAAACACAGAGAGTATGTATCTACCTATTGTCATACTATCACAATAGTGTGGGCTGTTTAATGTTTTCTTTTTACGAAACTTTCAAATGCTACTATCAACACTGTTTTGGTCCTCGCACTATCAAGAATCTGAATGTACATTCCAGATTATTTGGAAGCAGGGTGTTGTATTCATGCTGAAATTATTCTTCAGGAATCTCCTTGGAGCTCTGTTGGTACTGCATTAAATCCCTTCCTACGGAGGAGCTGAATTTACCCCAGGTACTGTGGCATTTGGAGTATGGTGGAGCTCATTACAATAGATAACTGTTCTGTTTTGTCTGTCCATTTCGGAACTGCTTTATCATTCAAGCTTGGGTTGCAGTGTCCTACCCTGACTTCAGTATCTTGTTTCAACCATTTTAGCCCGCTCTAAATTATGTATCTGAAGTTGCAATACAAAATAACAACTGTCAGTTCTGCATATGTCCCCTAGATGGTGCTGTCTTCTTAATATTCTGTTGCAGCTCCAGCTAGAGAATGAGGCTTCAACATTACCCTATGGTGGTGAGCGAATGAGCTACCAGAA